CAGTTACTGAATAATTATTGTGTTTCTTTGTTGATATCATATTTTCTTACTTTTTCATGTTTCCTTTTTGTTTCTGCATCAATATCTTTACATGTGGCAGAACAATAATCTCTTACAAACTTTACAGAGTGGCTTTCACTTGCAGATGGGTCTCAGTGTGCTGATTGTGAAGATTGTGATAACTCTGATTCCAATAAGATGCAGCATTATAGGCTTTGTACAACTTTTTCAGCTGAGATCAGTGCTTTTAATGACTCTGAGTGCCTCAGTAGCCATTTTGTTCACAATGGGGAGACTTGACTGAGGGACTCTCTCTTGGTGTTAGCTCTGACCTGGCCTATAAGCAGCTGCAGCAGTGCTGGGTTATAGGAGAAAGACCTCAGAGAGGCTGTGAAGCTGGGGTCCTAGCCTCAGGATCCTTCTTCTTGGAGAGAGGGGGTGTTCTGGAGGTTTGGGTCCAGGGAGCAGAGTATAGCTGCAATTCAGGAACTAGAGCTAATAGGATATAATGGCAACTAGGTTCCTGGGGGATGAAGCACCATCTAGTGGTGACCTTGGACCTGGGATGATGGGGCACAGCAGTATTCCAGACTGTGAGACTGGGTACAGCAATGGCAAAGAACACAAAATGACACAGCTATCACTTGGACCCTGGAGGGGTGGGGAGTTGGGGGCAGGGATCAACACAGTGATGACTCCACTTAGCTGGGAAGGAGGTGTCTCAGCAGCTCAGACTTTAGTCCAACTAATCAAGCTCTAGGGAAGTAGGGAACTAGAACTGTTTCTCCTGTTGGAGGAAGGGACATTTCTGCTCAGCCAGTGCTGTTTCCCTGGGTTGTGGAGTACTTTGTCAGCTCAGCCCTGGAATGCACAACTGCCCAGCTCAGCCAAAGCATTGATTGACTGGGTGGCAGTGTACTGCTTTAGCTCAGGCTTGGGGGTGAGTATGAGGAGTAGGGAAAGTAAGGTATGACTACTTTAAGTGGCCAACATACCATTTCCTGGGAGACAGGGTACTACTTCAATTCAGACACTGGGAAGTCATGACTACTCTGGGAAGCCAAAGTACTGTTTTCCCAGAAGGGAGGGCACTACACTTCAGCTCAGGCATGGGGGCAGGGGGCAGCAGCAACTGGGAGGGGTAGATGGCCCACTTTTCCAAGGCATTGTTTCTTCAGGAGGCAGTACACAACATCATCTCAAGCCCCAAGAGGCAGGGCACAGCAGGAACTCAGAAGGGTATATGGAGGAGTTTTGTTATGATACTGTTTTTTCTTCCACTGCCTTATAAAAGGCAGTGCACAGATTGAACTCAGGTCCCTAGGGGCAGTGTGCACAGCGACTAAGAGGAGTAGATGGAGCAGTTTCACCAAGGCAGTTTCTCTCGGAGGCAATGTACAGTTTCTCCTCAGGCCATGTGGGTCAGTGTGCCATGATGACTGGGAAAGGCAGATGGAACAGCTCTGCCAAGACACTCATTTCCCCTGGAGGTAGTGTGTAGCTTCAGTTCAGGCCCTAGAGGACATGATGTAGTGGGACTAAGAGGGGTAAATGGATAGCTGCTTAAGCAACTTGGCCCACCGGGTGAGATGTAGCAGCACATCAGGGATGGCGGGGCACCAGGCAGGAGTAGTCCCATAGTGGGTGAGCCTCCAGGCTGGTAGGGTGCCATGCCACTCGCCCTCAGAGCAGGACACATTCCAGCAGTAGTTCACATTCTAAGATGACATAGTGCAGTAGCCACATAGGCCACAGGGGGAAGGGCACACTGTTAGCTTCTACTCTGGGGTATCACAGCTGTGTGGACTCCAGGCAGCTCCCTCAGCTGGTTTAGTGCCTGTGAGGACTACAGGTGGTCCAGGGTGTTGATGGGAGCTACTGGGGTCCTCTTGCTTACTTTTTCCCTGCAAGAAGATGTCTTCTTGGTTCTAAGCTGATCCTGCCTAGGGAGTGGGGTGTTGGGTGCCAGATATTTCCTAGGATGTGGAGTACTATGACAGAAAGCAGTATGTGGCCATACTGGTTTTCTGTGCTCTGCAGGGTTTCTGCTACTCCTTTGATGTACTCTGGCACTCTCCTTTAGTTATTTTTTATCAGAATATAGTTGTTTGTTGTTTTGGTTGTCTTTGTGGGAGAGATGAATACTGACGGATCTTGTTGACATCCAATTGACTTTAATTTCTTTTTTTGTCTAATGTCTCTGGGTAGAACTCCCGGTACACTGTTAAATGGCCTTGCTGATGAGGGCATTTTTACCTTGTTCTGCTCTTAAGGCAAAAGTTCTCAGTCTTTTACCCTTGAGTATGATGTTAGCTGTGAGTTTTTAAATTACATAAAATGTAACTATGGAGATCACTTGAAACATTCTAAATTTATTATTAAGCCATCTAGCTTGTATTAACACCTTCACTTTAATAGCCTGAAAACAACTGCTTCTTTGCAGTTCTGTCTCCTCTTTTATATTGTTGATGTTACAAATTACATCTTTTTTCCATTGTGTACTAAATAACATGAATATATAAAGTGAAATTGCAAACCAAAAATACATCTAATATCCTTTCATTTCAATCTGGGCCCTTTTAGCATTTCTTTTAGGGTAGGGTTAGCAATAACAAACCCTTTCAGCTTTTGTTTATCTGGGAATGTCTTAATTTCTCCCTCATTTTTGAAGGACAGTTTTGCCAGATATACAATTTTTGTTTGTTTGTTTGTTTTCTGTCAGCATCTTAAAGGTCATCCCTTGACTTCTGGCTTCCATGATTTCTGATGATAAATCGGCTGCTAATCTTACTGAAGATCCCTCATAAGTGATGTGTTACTTTTTCCTCATTGTTTTCAAGATTCTTTGTCTTTTTTTTTTTAATAGTTCAACTATAATGTCTTGGTGTGAATCTCATTGGGTTTAACCTGTTGTAATTACTTAATTATGTGTACTTCTTAGATATGCAGATATGCAGATATGCCTTTCATCAAATTTGGGAAGCTTTCTGCCATTATTTCTTCAAATATTATTTTTGTCTCTTTCTTCTCTCCTTCTGAGACTCCCACAATGTACATGTTGTTTGTGTTATACATGCTTCTTAGGCTCTCTTCATTTTTCTTTATTATTTTTTCTTTCTGTTCCTCAGGTTGTATATTTTCAACCGTTCTACCTTCAATTTCACTGATTCTTTCTTCTGCCTGCTCAAATTTGCTGTTGAACCCACATAATACATTTTTCACTTCACTTACAGTACTTTTCAGCTTCAGAATTTATTTTGGCTCCTTTTTTTAATTTTTGTCTTTTTACTGACATTTTTATTTGGATCATGCATTATTTTCCTGGTTTCCTTTAGCTCTTTGCCCATGGTTTCCTTTAGTTATTTCTGTGTATTTAAGATAGTTGTTTTAAAGTCTTTACCTAATAAGTCTAATATCTATGCTTCCTCAGGGACAAATTCTGTTCATTTATTTTGTTCTATTAAATATTATAATGTTCTAACTCTGAAAATTAGATTCTTTTCCTATTTTAGGGTTTGAATTTTTTGTTTCACTGTCTGTTGAAGGCTGTAATAGTCCATCTGTTCAGTGACTTTCCAAAAAACTTTGGCAAGACTGTACTAGTTTCCACGTGAGATCACAGAAATCTCTGTTCTTTTAGCTTTTGTTCGGCTAGTGTTTTGATAGAGATTTACTTGACCTCTAGGAGTTAAAAAACAAACTAACAAACAAAAAAACTGCTCCAGTTCTTACAGATTATTTCTGTGCTGGAGTACTTTTTCGACACTTAGCCAGGATTACACTGAGTCTGGAGATCATCCAAAGCTGAAAGTTTTGGGTCTCCTCTGGCCTCTACTGAGCATGTTTCTTGCCCTGGGCATGCACATAGCTCTTGACCTGACTATTTACATAGCATTCTGTATTTTCCGCCATACACAGATGCTTTAGACTGTCCTAATTTCTCCAAGAAAATTTCCTTAGCTTTTTTTTCCCAGGCTTTAGATGGTTATTTTATGTATCAACTGTAATCTTTTACCCTAGGCAACAGCATTTGTTAGCCTTATAATGTTTTCAAGCAATGTGTGCTGCTTTTCTGCCCAGAGTGAGATCTGTGTCAGGTGGAATAGAGGTGAGTGCCTGCATCAGTCCTTCAGGTAGTTCCCAGACAGATTGGAACAGACTATATAACAATTTGTAAATAAGGCCTGCTCTGGTCCTTTTGTAACCAGGGACCAGGGCCTTCCACGGGGAATGTAGGCTATCTTCAAGACTGCCACTGAGCTGAGCAGGGGGTAGATCAAGTGCAAATAGAAATGTCACAAAATTTTCCTGTGATCTTAAAGTTGCCTTTTTCTTGATTCAGTGTTCACTTGGTTGCAGTAAACTTTTCTCTTGTTCAGATTGCTGACAATTTCTGCTTGTATTTTAATATTTCTGTGGCGATATGGAAACTTGGAGCTGCCTACTTCACCATTTGCTGGATATCACCTATTATTTGTTGTTAAGTGTTTTAAAGCCTTGCTTTTTAGTGACTACATTGTTGTTTCATTGTATAGATGTACTATAACTTACAGTAAATGATGCTATGATGAACATTTTTTCATATCTCTGATTACTTTTTTATCTTAGGATAAATTTCCAAAGTAGAATAACTATGTCAAAAGTCATGAACATTTTTGAGTTTTTTCGTATTTATTACCAAATTGCCCTGCAGAAGGTTTGCATGCATTTATTTTCCCACAAACAATATATGAGAGGATTCATTTCATTCCTTCTCTGTAATTTAATAGTTTTTCTGTATTTAATAGGCCAAAAATGACATCTTGTGGTTCTGTCTGCTCTTTTAAGAATTCTTCACATGATATAAATTTGAATCCATTGTTTTATTCCCTCAGTTTGTGATGTACTTTAATTTGTCCATTTCCTTAAATGTATGGGCCAATGAACTTAGGCCATTCTTCTGATCAAGAATACAACATTTTCCTGCTCTCATAAATATCAAATTTGAATTTATTTTATAGTGAATCTGAATGGTGCCTACCCCAAGCTGGTGCCTTTTAGACCTGCAGGACGGCTGATCTCTCCACCTCTGCTACTTTCTGTGATTTTCAACATTCTTCTCAGCCTGGCCATGCATATTGTGGGCTTCATCCTGGTTCAGAGGCAGCCTTGGTATTCCATGGAGATGCATAGGTATGAGTACAGTCTCAATTTCAGCTTCTCACATTCTAATTTCTATCAAACATCCTCTGGCCAATATGATGCAAGGCAAATGACTCTTCATTCTGCCAAAGGTTTTGGCTCTTTTAAGTCCCTTGGGCAAATTTTCAGTGACTATTTCTTCTCTATAACACCATTTAAGGCTAACAAATGTATCATTCATTCGTTAGCACTTATCTTTGCCTGTGTTATACAATAATGATCTATGACTATCTTTTAGATCTGGGGTGACCTTGGATTACAGTTTGCCTGGGCAGCCCCAGCTTAAGTAACCCAGTTTAAATTAAGTGATGTCCCAGCGAAATTATTAACATCTTTCTTTTTCATCTTAAAAACTATCCTTGTTAGATGATAAGTTATGTATTCACCCCACTTACAAATTATCAGATTTGTCATTGTGGTTGTTGTTGTTATAGAGACAGAGTCTGTCTCTGTTGCCCAGTTGTGTGATCTCAGCTCACTGCAACCTCTGCCTCCTGAGTTCAAGCAATTCTCCTGCCTTAGCCTCCCCAGTAGCTGAGATTATAGGCACATGCATGTGCAGCTAATTTTTGCATTTTTAGTAGAGATGGAGTTTCCCCATGTTGGTCAGGCTGGTCTCAAACTTCTGGCTTCAAGTGATCCACCCACCTTGGTCTCCTGGGGATTACAGGTATGAGCCACCACACCCTGCAAAATTATTAGAGATGTAAAGCCACTTGAGGGAGGAATCACGGCTTACCCATCTCTTTCTTAATATAGCCTTAATGAACATGTATTTGTATCTCTCTCTCTCTCTCTCTCTTTCTCTCTCTCTTTCTCTCAATGTATCCAAAATATCCAAAATATGGATCTATCTGTGCTTGTTTTTTTTTTCTTCTAATTTTCATTTTTTTTTCCCCAAAGCACAGGCAATTATAGAAGCATTGAGTGCCTGCTCTAGACACTGTTAGGTATGGAGTCTTCTGGATACAAATGCTCCATAAAGGCTTGTCATCTTAGTTCATAGCTTCTTTGGTTTCCTTTTCAGTGCCTGCACATTTCAAAATGAAAGCATCTCAGAGTTAACCATGTCTCCAACTGCTCCAGAAAAAATGGAAAGTAGCAGTGCCTTCACAAGTTTTGAGAACACTACTATCTGGTTCTTGGGAACAATCAACTGTATCATTGTGGCTCTTGTGTTCTCTAAAGGAAAACCATTTAGGCAGCCAACCTATACAAACTGTGAGTAAAACTCTACTGGATCAGAGGTGTGAAGTCATCAGAAAGGAGAATAGACACGCCCAGGTCACCTAGTGAACAGCTGTAGAGTTGACTCTTACCTGGCCTCTCCTGACTTCCATTTTAGGGCTCTGCAAAACATATTGCACGGCCTCATTTTCACAATTCTTTGCTCTTTCCTTCAAAGCTGAATTAGATACTAGGGCTTCTTTCTCTCTTTCCTTCACTAGAAGTTGTCTCTGGGTGTCTTTTCTTGGGATCACTCCAAATTGAGAAGACCAATTTATTTCTCTACTTGTCAGTATTTGTTAGAATTCACCCTGGAAAGAGTGGAGAGAAGGGTAACAGAACTTAGGTAGATCCTGTCGTTTGCCACGAAGGCAATGGTGAGGGTGGCATTGTGTGGTGGCAGGCTGTAAGTGGGTCCAGCCTGGAGGAACCTGACTAGAGAGGGTTATGGAGGCTCTTGGCCAGAGTTCCTCCCTTCTACCTCCTTACATTCTGAAGTGGGAAGGTATGTCTAGACGAGAAATGAGTGACCTATTTAACCTCTGAGACGTTTATTTGTATACCATCACTACTTTTCTAATTGAAAAAATTCAAAGCCCAAATTGAGTATCTTTATGAATATTTTCATAAACATTTATTTGTTCAGAGAAAATTATTTAGCTCTTCTTCCTGGAATGAGGAAGCAGTTAAATACTGACCTCTATATGACAGCAGTTTAAACATTTGCCATAAGACAGGCTTCCTTTTTTCCAGAAAATAATTTGAGGCAGATGATTTGCATTAAAGCAACTAAGATACTTGGATTTATTGAACATGTATTTTGTTAATGTTACCCTATGTATATTTACTACGTTTATTCATTGAAACTTAAAATATGCATGTGAAGATTTTCACTTGCTTCAAGGACATGAATAGAAATTGTAGAAGTGAGACCCATTGCTTAGAAATGAGTACCTTCCGTCTAGTGTTTGGATGTAGAAATCAAGTAAATTAAATCAGTGTTAATCTAGAATATGTCTGTCAATATATGTGACATTTTTCACTTTGATTTCTCAAAATGATAGCTTGTGTTCTTATTTCCTCAGATATGTTTGTCCTTGTGCTGATAATACAGCTTGGTGTATGTCTATTCATTCTATTTGCTGATATACCAGAATTATATAGACGTTTGGATGTAAGTCTTATCTTTGGGAAATGATGATGCTTTACAGTCATATAACCCCTTAACTTCAAAAAGCAGATCACAATTGCAATTGACATGATTTTTGACACAAATTATTCTTTTGGGATGGCAGAGCTAAAAAGAATGTATTCATATTTTTATTTAAACTGGTCAAGAAATAAAATTCTACCTGATTTTGATTTCATGAGACTAAAGATAGCCTTTAAGTATTGAATATTTTAATTTTATTTTCTTTTTCTTATTTAAGGTACAGGATCTCACTCTGTTGCCCCGTCTCATGCTATAGCTCACCCCAGTCTCAAACTTCTGGGCTCAAGCAATTCTCTCACTTTAGCCTTCCGAGTAGCTAGGAATGCAGAAATGTGCCATTATGCCTAGCTAATTAAAAAAAAATTTTTGTAGAGATGAGATCTTGCGACATTGCCTAGGCTGGTCTCAAACTCTGGGCCTCAAGCAAGCCTGCTGCCTTGGCCTCCCAGTGCACTGGGTTTACAGGCTTGAGCCACTGCATCTGACCAAATATTTTTATTTTAAAAGATCCCTGGTATTATGGGAAAATCTGTTTCTATATTTTCTCTTTCAAATACGAGGGAATATTTTCCTAAATGCTTCTGCTATTGAAGTTGTTTAAAACTATTTTGCCTACGGCTTTTTTTGGTTAATTATCACTAAGTATTTATATTTATTTTTTATGGCTTTAAAAATGTTTTCTGTGTGTTCATACTTAATCTCTGTAAAACTTACTTTCCAAGAACCATACTTTACCTCATAAACTGTCTTACATTTTACAATATTGATACAACTATAAAAACCTACAAGATACCAAGATTTTACATATTCAAGCCAGGGAAAATCATATTTTGATTTCTTTAACCTATCCTACTGTTATTAAAATTTAATCATGGCTAAATGTTCTTTAGATCAATAAATACAATATTGAAGAGGTGACTAAAGAAATAGTTCTTTTAATTTAGTGCTTTGTATATCTGATTGCCTCTCCATCTCAAAGATGAGTTTCATGAGGTCCAAGAGTGTATCTTATTCATTCTTGTATTACCAGTAGCTTACACAAAGAATGGCCAAAAATGACAAAGGAATGATTGATCACTGCATATCAGACTCCTAAATATAACAATCACTTAGAGGACACAGTGTGTTCCCAACCAGCAATACCCACACAAACCCACAGTGACATTTGGCATACTAACTAGTATCTTTATTTTGTCATACTAATATATTTAGCATTAGTCTTTTTATTTTTGTGATTACTGTGGTTAGCAGTGTAATTAACACTGTTGTTAAGTGCCTTCATGAATTAAGTATTCATGAATATAAGTAGGCTTTGCCCACTGCTCTTCTAAGTCAGTTAAAACTTCTTAATCCTGCAGAAGTTAAGGATACGATATGATGAGTTGAGTGTCACTTTTTAATAGAAGAAGATTCTTGCAGAAAGGCTGGTATAACAAAATACAGAAGATATTTGATGTAGAGAGAACCTAGTTAGGGTCATTGCCAACATGACTGCAAAGGATTCTGCAAAGAATTATTGTTCACTTTTATAACAATTATTTTTCTTATTATTACATAAAAATATATGTTCTTTTTAGAAAATGTAGAATGTGCAGGCAAGGAAAATTATAACGTTATTCACTATATTCTTCCTTCTTTTAAAATTCCTATGTTATAAACATGTGTTGACTAATTTTTAGTTTTTTAAAAAGGATGAGATCACATTATTTTATAACTGAGAAACTGCTTACTTAAAAATTTATAAATTACTTTAATAGAGCACACATTCATTTGGTTTACAATTCAAAAGTTTAAAAAGTCATATAGTGAAAATCTCCATCCCATCTTAGATTCCCAGTCGCCAGTTCCCCTCTCTGTAGGCAACCAGTGACACCAGTTTATTTTACATACTTTGAGATCTATTTTGTATATTCTTTTTCCACATTTTTACATAAATATGAGAAAACTATTATATTTGCTCATGTCTGAACTGGGATCTGAGATGTGGATGTCAAGCTGAGTTGAGTTGTGCAAGAGAATTATTGGAGGAAATTCCCAGGGTGGGGGGCAGGGGAATAGAAAGTCAGAGGAAGTAGGGAGAGGCATCGCACTGTGATGGGGGTTTAATCTCTAAGAAGAATAGAGGGAAGAAGGAGGGCTGGGTGCGTAGCATCTCAGGCTGCAGCACACTTCTAAGAAAGTCAGGCCAAAGTTGCCCCTCAGGAGTTTCTATGTCTCATAGGAATAAGTCGGGTTAGAATCCTGCTGTCCTCATTACTCGGTTATGTGAAGCGTATGACTTTATATATGCTTTACAGCAGATGTGGTAGTGGATTCTGAGAATAGCAGTTAGGGTATTCATCATTTATCTTCCCAGAAGCAGAAGATCTGAGTGGAAAATTTTCATGGCTGCTACAACACATACATAGTCAGGCACCTTGCTGCTTTCATGTAACAGTATTAGTTGTTCCATATCAGCACATACATTTTCCTCATGCTTTTTAATGTTAATATAATATTTCATTTTATGTGAATGCATTTTATTTATGTGTTATATATATATCATAGTTTATATGTACTCCCATATTGATAGACATTTGTTTCCAAGTTTTTATTACAAAGCTGTAATAAAAATATTATTGCGCATATATGATTTTAGCCATATACAAGTATATTTCTGAGATAAGTTTCTAGAAATGAATTTTTAACTTTGAGAACATTGTCCTCTATAGAACTGTTTTAGTTTTTACTCTTACTAATGTATGAGGCAATGTATAAGGCAGTGCCAGGTACAATGGGATGCCCTTGGCACTTTTTCATTCATTAATTCCTCCATTGATTGATTCATTCACCATATGTATATATTAGGCTCTGGGCCTGGAAGGGGTTGGGAAGACAGAGAAAGTGGGCAAAGGGACAGGTCATGACAACCTTGATTTCAGCTCCATTTGCTCCTTTGGCAAGTGCCCTTGTGAAGGCACACTGCGCAGCTGGATACACAGTCCTGAGGGTGAAGCCCTGAGCCAGGGCTAAAACCAGAGCTCGGCTGGGGAGAGATGTGGCACCAGAGAAAAGAGGGCGATGCTGCCCAATTGTCAAGGTTTGATATGTGTACCCTCAGGCCTCCTGAGAATAAAGCCACATTCCTGCCTCCCTTTTGACAAAAAAACAAAGCAAGCAAACAAAAAATGATTTTACTATTTTTTTCTAATTGCAAAGTGACCAAAGTTATTTTAGGAAATTTAGAAATTACAGAGAAACACACACATGACAAGAAAAAAAAAAGATAAAAGAAGAAAAGCAACATTCATAACCCCAAATCATTAGGATCGTGAGTATAAACTTTCCATACTTTTTCTGTGCATACGAACATAAAAATTCTTTATACATGTAAGATTTATGTAATACACACACATATATATGACACGAGATTTATAATCTGTGAAAATGTATACTGTGGACATGTGAACATGTTTCCAGCATATATTTGTCTTCAGACTAACCGTGCTTCGTCATCTCCTGCCAGCTGCTCTGCACTCCCATCCTGTGGAGGGTCTCCATTGTCATCATGCTCAGCTTGAATTTCATTGTGTCCCTAGTGGCCGAGGTAAGTGCCCTCAGGCTGCTGCTCTTGTGTGTGTGTGCATGCATGTATGTAGGGGGACTTCTTTGGGACTCTGAAAAGCTGCCATGGACTCAGCAGTGCAGCGCCTGCCTTCCTTCACAGCGTAAGAAATGGTGCATTTCTCTGAGTTCCAAGCAAGGCACCAGTTTCCCCATCTGCCAAGTGGGGCTGGGGAGAATGGAATTATGGTCTCTAAGGTCCTATTCATTTCTAAAATCTCCAAATAAAGACCCAACACAATTTACTTTTTAAAATTGAGATGTGATTCACACACCATAAAATTTACCCCTTTAAAGTACACAATTCAGTGGTTTTTAGTGCACTCACTGAGTTGTACAAACGTTAACACTACCGAACTGCAGAACATTTTCATCATCACTAAAGAAATTCTGTACCCACCAGCCGTTGCTCTTCACTGCCCCTTCCGCCTTCTCCTGGGCCTTGGTAGCCACTAATCTACTTTCTGTCTGTGTGGATTTGACTATTCCGGACATTTCATGTAAATGAAATCAAACAATATGTGGCCTTTTGTGTCTGGCTTGTTTCACTTAACAACTCGTATCATTTTTGCCTTACAGATGGGAAATGATATTCATAGTGAGCTTTTCCAGCTTTCAATCTCCAGCTCCCATTGGCTCCATTTCCTAGCTTTTATTCCTCAGCTCCCCTGTGCTCCATTTCCTCAGTGAAATGAGCTTGTGTTCCTGCTTCCTTTCTCCCTGTGATTCACGCTTTCCTCCCTCAGTGCTATCAGACACAACCTCCATTCTTCAAAGCCTGTTGTTAGGCAGGGGTGCCCTGAAAAGGCATTTATGAACAAAAGAGAGGTGAGATGCAGAATTCCATCTGCCTCTATTCCTGCTCTGAGTTACTAGAATTGTTCCAGCAAATGGACTGTTCGTTATGAGCCATGAGAACTGACAGCCTGACTTCCCTGAAGTATTGTGGAGGCACGACCTCAATGAGCTCTCCCTACTTATTCCTGTGCAGAGTAAAGGCTTCACAGGAGCTGGTGGCAGAACAGGACATAAAAATTTCACTACTGGACTTTCTCTCTCTGTGCTAAACCAGAGCTTTTCAAACTTGAGTGGGCATCAGAATCACCTGGGAGGCTTGTTAAAACAGAGATTTCTAAGCCCTTCCCACAGTGTGTCTGATTCAGTAGATCAAGAAAAAGTGTAAAAGTTTGCTTTTCTAACAGGTTGTCAGGGGATTCTGATGTGACTTGTTCAGGGATCACACTTTGAGAAGCAATATGCTGAACCATATGGTCTCTAAAGCAACCAGATTAATAAAAGAACATTATCACAGGTGTCCTCAGACCCAATGAAAGAATGATGGTTTTGGCCTTTAAAGGATAATCTAATGTGTACATCTTATCCCTGTCCATGATCACAGGATTTCCTCTGTCTGGCGTATCTTTCCTCCATTTCTGCATATTAAAGTGCAATTCCATCCTCTAATGCACAGCTGTAGTATTATCCTCTTGTGCATCTTTCCTGATCTCTGAATCAGGTAGGCAAGTAGCAACTGAACTAACAGTGGTTTAAATAATAAAGACGTTTATTGACTCAAGAAGAGTGAAGATCGGTGGCTTTAAGACTGGCTTAGTGGCTCAGTAGTGTCATTGGGAATCCACACTCTTTCACCTTTCTGTTCTACTATCCTTAGATGTAGTCTTTTATGTTTGTGCTTGTGGTTTTTGTGCCCAGATAGCTTCCACATAGCTGGACTTTACATCTGTTTTCAGTGCAGGAAGAAAATGGAAGGAGCAGCTAACAGCAAGCCAGTTTCCATCAAGTCTGAACCTTTTCTTGGGAAACAGACTTTTCCTGAAGCTCGCCAGCAGACTTCCTTTTTTGCCTTATTGATTAGACCTGTGTCTCATTGTCATCATGAGTAGAAAAGGATTCTGGGAAAGCAGATCCATGTCAAACGTTAGACAATTTGCCTTAGACCATTTATTATCATTACTTTTCCCTTTTAGGTGGGCAGGGAAGAGTTGGGAGGGAATGGGCTGTATGGTAACCACGTATCAAAGTCTTCCATAATATTCTAGCAGGAGGTTCTTCCTTTTTCAGCATATTTGAATTTAAGAGCACAAGCTCAGGGGTAATCTACCTGGGTTTGAATCCTGGCTCCACCAATTTCTTGGTGTCTGACTTTGGGCAAATTATTCCACTTGCCTAATCTCTGAGCAGCCCAGAAAACAAACAGATTTGAGCAGGACCTTATCCTTACTATGCCAATGCTCATGATCTAACCTCCAGCTGAGAGGCATGAGATCTAGCGTGGATAGCTTTAATTGCCCCCACCTTTAAGAAATTATTTATGTGTTGATATAGGTATGCTTGTATGTATGAGTTATTTGAGTAGCCAGTCAGAAGAGCTCCTGCTTTGGATGTTTTTTAAAAGAAATGTCTCACCAAGGCTTTTCTTCTGTTTCCAGTTGTATTAGTCCGTTCTCCCACTGCGGTGAACAAATACCTGAAACTGGGTAATTTCTAAAGAAAAGAGGTTTAATTGGCTCATGGTTTTATAGGCTGTACAGGAAGCATGGCTGGAAGGCCTCAAGAAACTTTCTATCATGGCAGAAAGCAAAGGGGAAGCAGGCAGGTCTTACATGGCCCGAGCAGGAGGAAGAAAGAGAAGGCAGAGGTGCTACATGCTTTGGAACAATCAGATCTCATGAGAACTCACTCACGGTCATGAGAACACCAAGGAGGATATCCACCCCCATGATCCAATCACCTCCCTCTCAACCCTTCCTGCAACATTGGGGATTATAATTTGGCATGAGATTTGGATGGAGACACAAATTCAAATTATGTCACTGGTTCTGCATTGCATTTATAATGTGTGGTAACAGGACAGATCACCTCTCCGTAGTTTCCTCTTCCAGAGCAGCAAGGTGATATAAGTCATCATAATTCCAGAACTAAAACACACTCAAGGCAAGATGTAGAGCTGTAGAGCACTAAAATTTCTCTCTCTCTCTCTCTTTCTCTCTGTGTCTGTCCGTGTGTGTGTGTGTGTGTGTGTGTGTGTGTGTGTGTACATACGTGTGTTTTCATCTATTTTGTTTTAAGTCTTACTAAGGTTTCCTGGAAGTAAGATTTTAAAACCTTCACTTATGTTCCTGCCTTATCCCAGCTCCAAGAAGAGCTACTGTTTTCTTGTAAGGAAGACAAAAAAAAAAACAAAAAACCTTGCTGCAGGAAAGTAGAATAACTCATCTGGCTAAGTTTCCAAGAGGCTGAGATGGCTATGTGGATCTTTAACAGCCTGGCAGCTGTTACATAACCTTACAATGCAGAGCAGGATATAGCTCTCTCCCTTTGCCTGCCCTTCTGAACTACTCATTTAACAAATGGCTATGTACTGTGGTCCTATTCACACATGCCTCTAACTTTCACCTTCACTGAAATACAATTTTAAGATTACAAAAGATATGTCCAGTGAGAACACCTTAGATTGGCTCTGCGCTCAAGCTCTTTGTCCAGCTGGATCTAAGCAGCCATTGCAGTAGTGACTTACGATGGCCTGTGGAGGGCTGTAGCCTCAGAACACTCAACCCCTGATTGTGAAAAGCAATTCTTTTATTTTGCAGGAGGCCATTATTGAAAATCGAGCCCTGTGGATGATGATTAAAAGATGTTTTGGCTATCAGTCAAAAAGCCAGTATCGGATATGGCAGAGGGACTTGGCAAAGGACCCCAGTTGGCCCCCACTAAACCAAACCTCCTACTCTGACATGCCAGGTTGTGGCAGAGGGGTGTCTTACAGCAATCCAGTATTTGAGAGCAATGAAGAACAACTTTGAAGTTCATGTGATATCCAAGTTGATATTACAGAGAAACAATGACAAAAGGGACCGGTTTCATTGATTTTAAGAAATGAGACTCTTGCAACATCAGCTGGAGTTTTGAGATACCTATCAAATCATGGTGACAGACTAAAGTCTGTTTGATAAAATACTTTCTACAGAGAAGAACATTGACCCAGAAGAGTGCTTTCCTCTTGGCTTCTGAAGGTATGAAGGTATGGGAAGCATTCAGTGAAGGCAAGAATGGGCCAAGGATTGCCATGGAGACAAGCAGGCTAAAGGGGAAGAATATGTGATCTTTCTTCTTAAGACAGGATAACACTTTCCTTTAAAAAATGAGTTTAGGGGAAGTAGTACTGTGTATACTCATGGAGTTGTAACATGTTAAAGATCACTTTTGAATTTTTACTTCATCAGTGGAAAAACTAATGCATGGGAAACATTACACCAATCTTTACCGTCTGGATTCTTTTCCTCTGTAGTCCTTTTCAGATTTGAGGCTTTTTCTTCTGCTTCTGGCCTTACCCTACATATTATTAAGGATAAGCTCAGCCTATGCTGCAATAAAAAAGCAACTCTCAGATAGCAGTGCCTTAACGCACAAGAGCTTCTTTCACGATCCAGGTGACACTCCAGAACAGCTATTCTTACAGTGGTGACTGCTTCACTCTGCTGGCTCCATCAGCTCGACACAAGGACTCTGTGTTTACTGTGATGGGGGAAGGGGTAGGCTGGAGATCACATGTGGGCTCTTCGCTGCCTCACCCCAAAAATGGCACACATCTCCTTCCCTACTCATATCTCATTAGTCAGGGATTTGGCCAGGAAGCTGGCAAGTACAGTCTCCTGTGTTTGGGGATGCTTCGTGGGCTGATGAGCTGTCGCTACACAGGGTCCCCATGCTTAGAAGGGCCCCATGCTACTTCAACACTCTGCTGTTTCCATCATAAAATTTTTAATTTTTGAACAAGGATCCTCATATTTTCATTTTGTACCAGACCCCACAAATGATATAGTTGGTCTGGGATGCAGTCCTGGGAAGGAAAGGAAAATGGCAGATCAGAGAGCACTAGTGCTGTCCACTGACGTCCACTTCTTTTAACCCCAGAATTTACCCTATGTTTTAGGAACCTCTCATGTCACATGGCCAACTCCAGAAATTTTCACTCCTCTGCTTTGTTATTTTTGAGAAGCATTAGTCTTGTGCTAAGGATTATATGGTACTACTGATGTAAGTTCTTACACAACCAGTACGTTTTTTAAGTTTGTGGCTTCAGGTTCCAGAAAACTAATATTTTCCTTATTTTATCACTATTACAATTTGATTATACTGGATTTGTTCAGCATAAGGAAGACTCAGGTTTCTGTTAGCTCAGGAGACAACACTGAATTCTAGGAGCACATTTACACATAACATTTTAAGGCAAAAGCAACATTTTTATTATGAGCATCAGATCCTAGGTGAATGTTCTAATCGGGGGATAAGTGTCCTGGCCCAGGCTGGCTTTGCTACTAATTAATAGCATTTGCAAGTATTCCTTCCCCGTAACTGAGCTCTTGAGCATGGTTGATGGCTCTATTACTGCAGCTGATGGAACATGGTGTCTCCCAGCCACGAGGGTACCTTGTTACTTCTGGTTTTAAAATAGGGCTTGAAGATATTTCAGTGTTCTAAGACTGCAGAATCATTGTCTTTTTTCGATACAGAAAGAAATGTTTCCTTTTGCAAAGCCAGCCTTAGCAATGATATGGCAGTTCTGAATGTCCTTTTCTGAAAGTGTTTCTCATTTTCCAAAAGTAGAGGGTTGTGGGCAGGGGCAAGCTAGACGTGGTCTGCGAACTAGTCATGAGCAAGATCAGCCTGCACAGTTCATACTTAAATGTGCCCTTCGTTAAGTGTGTTCACCTCCATTAACTCACTTGAATTGTACAGTTGTCCCATAGCTCAACAAGGAACGGCTTATCATCTCCACCATGCAGATGAGAAAACTGAGATTCAGGAATGGCAAGAGCAGATCTAGGCCTCAAATATAGATCTTCTGAGCAAACCTTATATTGCTTCCAAATACTTCCTAATTATGGAGCTCTAGCAGGGCAGGGTGCTTAGTGTGATCTCACAGTCAAGCAAAGAATGGGCAACTCTTTCCTAATACCACGGCCTCTGTTCAAATGAATGCCAGTCATCCTGCCAGGCCTGGGCTAGAGGTGTGTTAAAAACCAAACCAAACCAAACCAAAAAATGATTTGTCTGTCTTTCTGAGACTGAGTTGCTCTTGCCTCGGGCCTAAGTGATTCTATCCCTAGCAATGGCCGGCAGGGAACAGGAATAAAAGAATCTAGTCCTCCACTAGCCAAGCAGCCATGAAATCTTTGGGAAAAGAGACTCATTTTGAAGACTGTATTCCTGCAGCTAACTACATCTTGGAAGCAGTAATTGAAATAACAGGGAGTGCCTAGCCTGGAAAAAAAATAGGGGACTGTGAAGGGTTATTCTGAGAAAGAAGGATCTGTTTGTGCCAGGTGGCATGAGAAGGCAGAATCCGGACAAGTGGGTAAAGATCACAGTGGGGATGGCTTCAGGCCATCTGCCCTAACCACTGTCCTAACAGCCAGCACTGATACCAGTGGAATGTACTCCATGACATTGAAGGAACAAGTGGCTATTCAAAGGCCAATTAGAGAAGGAAGTCAGGTATCAGATGAAACTCAATTACCTGCAAGATCTCTTTCAGGCATGATACACCCAATGTCTCAGTCTTATGCTGTGATGCGAACCATTTTCTACCGATACCCACACAGAATACCAGACTGACATGGGAGGATGAGCTCTGGAGGGAGGGCTCCCAGCCTTGTAAGACCCGATTGTATGGACATATAGACTCAATGTCCTTGTACCTTGAAAGGGGATCTTACCTCCCTACTGGAGATAAGATGCTAGGAAAGAGGTGCAGAGTGAGGCATTCTGATTGCTAGATTGAAGCTGGTTCAATCTGATTTGTGTATTTTCTTAAAGAGAGGTGTTTAAAATCTTTGCATGAGAGAGCATGGGAGAGTGCCCTAAACTTGAGGGCAGAGCAACCTGTTATCAATACACTTTCTTGACCAGACTCTGAAGGAGAACACAGTCACATAGTCCAAATCATTTGAGACAGTGTCCTGTATGTTCATCCCAAGGCACCTAGCTCTTACCCACAGAGAACCCTGACTCTGGGCTTCCCTCACTAAATATGTAATGATCTGAGAATGGAAATACATGCGTACCATCTGTATCCTTATGTGCTTATGGAGATGTTCACGTACACACCTGCAGATGTGTTGATTGAAAGAAAGTGATTATTTATTCAGAGCTTTGTATCTAGTTTATGCTATAATAAATTATTCTGTACAAAAGAGGCACATAAAATCTATAATTCAGTTTTCATAAAAATCAGTCTCTCTCTCTGCAGTGGAGTCTTTCACTCCATCTAATAAAATGATTTACTCCAGTAATGTTGAATCAAACAACATCTTTACAAATTTCCAGCCATTTTCTAACAACACAGATGCTATTTTTCTCTGCTTTATACACTGGACATTAGAGTTTACAAAATACTTTCAGACTTCTTCATTCATTTAAGCCTTGTAACAACCTTAGGAGGAAAGCAAGGCAAGGATTACTGTCCTTTTGATGAGGTACAGGACTCTCCAGATGGCTCAGCAACTGGATCTAGGACACATGGCTCGTGCATGGAGAAGCTGGATTCAGATGTAAGTCCTTTATCAGCAATATCCCTGCTGTGTCACACTCCCACGTTGTATTTCCTGAATGAAAAAAGAAAAAAAAAAACCTATAGCATGGAAAAAACAGATGACAGCAAAGGAAGCATCCAATGTAATTGCCACCGTGAGCACAATTTCTTCCAGAAAGATATTTTGGTGTCTCATGAAAGTTCTCTTGAACCTGACCATCAATCACAGAAAAGGTCAACTCCAACAGCTAAGAGAGTAAAATCATAGCACCAAAGCCTTGTGAGCCTGTTTCATGTGATCAGATAAAGCTCTGGTTTTTGACTGCAGTCTCCAGAAACAGAAACCTATATCCCTGCTTGATCTTTATTCAGACCTGCTTTCCACAGCTTTTCAGGTTCCTATAGAATCTCTTTTGGCTTTGAAGTATGCTCACTTCTCTACGCATAAACAACTTGAAAACTGCTGCCCCATAATATTCTGTCTGCCCTTTGGTTTCCACTAGACTTGTTAACAATAACCTTTACACTTTGTTAATAAAATGATTTTCTTCAAAATTGAACAAAGATAAAATTAACAACAAAACATAGCTCTCCCAGAATTGATCAAAGAGCCTTAGGAGTGAGCCACCTTTCCATCCTCAGGAAGACTGCATTTGCCATCCTCTTTGCCTTGAATGCCACCCCCCACCAACCTCCTGTTCCCGTTGCTGATTCCTTCTCCTTCAGATTTCAGCTCACTTGTCACTTCCTTTAAGAAGCCTTCCATGACCACTTCATCTAATGTTGCTCTTGCTCCACTACTGTGTTTTATTTTCTACATAATGCCTGTGCCACCGTTCAGATGACTGAGGCTGAAAGAGTGCTACTTGTTCAAAATCACCTAATGGGGAAATGAATGATCTGAGTCTATAATCTAGATCTACTGACTTCCAAATCAAGGTTCTTAACATTCTTCACATCTAGCCAGATTCTGCCAATTAAATTAGCTAATCTGTCAAGAAAAAGAATGCCGGATGCTGCAGAGCATTGTCCATGGTTGGATGAAAAACACTCTTAAGAGTCATCCAGACTCTCCCAGCTCTTTTCCTTGCTGTCTTCCCTTGACTTCTCCTAAGTGTTTCAATGCCATGAAAAATGTGATGAGTCAGTGACTTGTGATAAAGGATGCACATATAGTTGCTACAGAAATTCTGTTGAGTTTAAAATTGTGGATAAAGGGGGTTATACTGCAGAAAGGTCTCACATGTGTTGTATATATTGCACACTGTACAATCCTAGGATGGACCATTTATATTGTACTGCAAGCCCAGGGCAATGGTTCTGGATTATATCAAGGAAGCTTTGTGGGTAAATGATGGCTTTAACTTTGTAATTATAAACACATATATGCAATGAAAAGTTCCACCTGTGCCTGCTACAAACAGTTTCTACATCTTTAGACCATCTCTTGGCACTGTCTCTCATGCAGAACTTCCTCTCCTCTAAGCCCTTGGTTGCCACCTGCCTGATTACAGAAGCCTCTTAACTAGTCTCCCTGAGATCTTTCTTCCATTTTCATTCTTAAAGTCTCTATCTATTCTAGTTGCACAACTCTGATGGTGTTATGTCCATGGCCAGAAACCCTTAATGGTCTGAATTGTCTACCAGATAAAGTACACATTGCTTGCTAAGGATTTCAGTCTTCTCTACTGACCACATCTGATTTCATCTCAGATCTTTCCCCTTATTGAATTCTCTACTTCAGCAAACTGAATTTCCAGCAATACTCCCAGCATTCAGTCCTCACTTTCCCACCTCAATAGCTGATAAGGTTTGGCTCTGTGTCCAAATCTCACCTTGAAGTATAATCCCCAAGTGCCAAGGGTGGGACCAGGTAGAGGCAATTGCATCATAGGGACAGATTCCCCCATGCTGTTCTTGTGACAGTGAGTGAGTCTCATGAGATCTGATGGCATTTTCTCCTCTAGCACTCACTCTTGCTGCCCTGTGAAGAAGGTGCCTGCAGCTGAGTGCAGTGGCTCATGCCTGTAATCCCAGCACTTTGGGAGGCCAAGGAGGGTGGATCACCTGAGGTCAGGAATTTGATACCAGCCTGGCCAACACAGTGGAACCCCATTTCTAATAAAAATACAAAAATCAGCTGGGTGTGGTGGTGCATGCCTATAGTCCCAGCTACTCAGGAGGCTGTGGCAGAAGAATTGCTTGAGGCTGGGAGGCAGAGGTTGCAGTGAGCCGAGATTATGCCACTGCACTCCAGCCTGGGTAGCAGAGAAAGACTCTGTCTAAAAAAAAAAAAGAAAAAAGAAAGAAAAAAGAAAAGAAGGTGCCTGCTTCTCCTTTACCTTCTACCATGATTGTAAGTTTCCTGAGGCCTCCCCAGCAATGTGAAATTATAAGTTAATTGAATATCTTTCCTTTATAAATTACCCAGTCTTAGGTATTTCTTCATAGCAGCATGAAAATGGACTAATACAGTAAATTGGTACCGAAATGGTAGGGTGCTGCTGTAAGGATACCTGAAAATGTGAAAGTGATTTTAGAACTGAGTAACAGGCAGAGGTTAGAACAGTTTGAAAGGCTCAGAGGACAGAAAGATGTGGGAAAGTTTGGATCCTTCTAGAGATCTGTTGAATGGTTGTCACCAAAATGGTGACAGTAATATGGACAATGAAGTCCAGGCTGAGGTGGTCTCAAATGGAGATGAGGAACTTTTTGAGGACTGGAGTAAACCTGACTCTTCTTATGCTTTAGCAAAGAGACTGGTTGGCATTTTGCCTCTGCTCTAGAGATCTGTGGAGCTTTGAACTTGAGAGAGATGATGTAGGATATCTGGCAGAAGAAATTTCTAAGCAGCAAAGCATTCAAGAGAAAGCAGAGTGTAAATGTTTGAAAAATTTGCAGCCTGGTGATGCAATAAAAAAGAAAGAAAACCAGTTTTCTGGGGAGAAATTCAAGCCTGGTGCAGAAATTTGTCATGAGTAACATAGGAGCTGAATGTTAATCACCAAGACAACAGAGAAAATGTCTCCAGGGCATGTCCATGGGGAAAATGCCCTTCTTGACAGCCCCTCTCATCACAGGCCCAGAGGCCTAGGAGGGAAAAATGGTTTCCCAGTCTGAGCTCCGGGTCCCCTTCCTCTGCGCAGCCTCCAGACATGGTGCCCTGAATCCCAGCTACTTCAGTCCCATCAGTGGCTAAAAAGGCCAGTGTACAGCTCAGGCTGTTGCTTCAGAAGGTGCAAGCCCCAAGCCCTTGTGGCTGACCCATGGTATTGGGCCTGTACGTGCACAGAAGTCAAGAATTGAGATTTGGGAACCTCCACCTAAATTTCAGAGGATGTACAGAAACACCTGGATGTCCAGGCAGATGTTTGCTGCAGGGGTGGAGCCCTCATGGAGAACCTCTGCTAGAGCAGTGTGGAAGGGAAATGTGGGGTTGGAGCCTTCACAAAGAGTCCCCCCACTGGGACACTGCCTAGTGGAGCTGTGAGAAGAGGACCACCATCCTCCAGACCCTGGAATGGTAAATCCACTGACAACTTCCAGTGTAAGCCTGGAAAAGCCACAGGTACTAAACACCAGCATGTGAAAGCAGTCAGGGGGGCCTACACCCTGCAAAGCCACAGGGGTGTAGCTGCCCAAGGCTGTGGGAGCCCACCTCTTGCATCAGCATGACCTGGATATGAGACATGGAACCAAAAAGATCATTTTGGAATTTTAAGGCTTAATGACTGCCCTGTTGGATTTTGGACTTGTATCCTATAGCCCCCTTTGTTTTGTCCAATTTCTCCCATTTGGAATGGGTGTTTTTACCCAGTGGCTGTACCCACATTGTATCTAGGAAATAGTTAACTTGTTTTTGATTTTACAGGCTCATGGATGGAAGGGATTTGCCTTGTCTCAAATGAGACTTTGAACTTGGATTTTGGGTTAATGTTGGAATGAATTAAGACTTTGGGGGACCATTGGAAGGGTATGATTGTGTTTTGAAATGTGAGGACATGAGATTTTGGAGCGTCCAGGGGTGGAGTAATATGGTTTAGCTCTGTGTCCCCACCCAAATATCATCTTGAAGTGTAATCCCCATAATCCCCATGTGTCAATAGTGAGACCACGTGGAGGTAATTGGATAATGGGGGCAGCTCCCCCATGCCATTCTCATGAGAGTGAGTGAATCTCACAAGATCTGATAATTTTATAAACACCTGACATTTTTCCTGCTGCCACTCACACCATCTTGCTGTCCTATGAAGAAGGTGCCTGCTTCTCCTTTACCTTTCATCATGATTTTAAGTTTCCTCAGATCTCCTTAGCAATGTGGAACTGTGAGTCAATTAAATCTCTTTCCTTTATAAATTACTCAGTGTCGGGTATTTCTTCATAGCAGTGTGAGAATGAACTAATACAATACCTTGGCTCGTGTTCTCTCTTTTGGGGCATCAATAATTTTTACTCTTATCTTGACACATGCAAATCCCACCAGTTGCTCAATATTAGTATCCCATTAGAATACCATGTGGCCTGCCAAGCCAGAAAGGAGCTCTCTTTCTCTACACAGCCATCACATTCTACATATCTATTCATTGTGTGTGGCATGCATTTTTTTTTTTTTTTTTTTTTTTTTTGCTTTGCATCATAGTCCTGTAGTATCTTAACTTCCCACATCTCCCACCCAACCCAACTTCAACAGAGAATACATTTTCTGAGGGTAGAGTCCAAGCCTGAGTTGTCTCAACTTCTCATCCTTCACCTAGCACAGAGCCATGGTTGGGGGCTCAGCAAGCAGTTGTCACATGACTTAATAAAAAATATAATCATTGGGATATTTTGTTGATTTATTTCTCACCCTTTGTCTGTGAACACCTGTTTCTCATTCAGTACACTGAAGCTTAACTCAACAATAGAGCTGAGTTAGTGATTGCAATGTTGTACTTAATAAGTTTGGCTGTCTATTTATACAGTGAGGGAGTGGGAGTGTGGTGTGGAATTAAAAGAGTTAGGTGTGTGCTACAAAGACTGTGTGTGTGTGTGTGTGTGTGTGTGTTTGTGTGTGTGTGTGTACACATATATATGAAGCATGTGCAAGAGAGATCCATTCTGTGATCTATGGTCTGAGTGTCAGAATGTAATAAAATAAGGTGGAGGGAATTCCCCTGTGGCCTCTGTCACCTGGCAGTGAGGTGGCTGTGGGAACACAGGCAGAAAATGAATGTTTTTTTTAGATGGAGTTTCTGTCTTGTTGCCTAGGCTGGACTGCAATAGCACAATCTTGGCTCACTGAAATCTCCGCCTCCTGGTTTCAAGTGATTCTCCTGCCTCAGCCTCCCAAGTATCTGGGATTACAGGCATGTGCCACTACGCCCAGCTAATTTTGTATTTTTAGTGGTGATGGGGTTTCACCATGTTGGTCAGGCTGGTCTTGAACTCCTGACTTCAGGTGATCCACCCACCTTGGCCTCCCAAAGTGCTGGGATTACAGGAGTGAGCCATTGTGCTGGAGATGTGTGTTTCTAGTGGCTGATGCTATCACACACAGATATACAAGTGACATAAAGCGTCTTCATATAAGTGGCTAAAGGATAAAAAAAAGTAGTTAAGAGATATAGAGATGAACCAAGGGTGATACAGGGTATCTGTGCACATCATGGAGGCCTGGGATCCCCTGCCACCAACCTCAGGGTCAGGTAAGGCCTCAGAAGCCTGACCATGGAAGCAGCAGCAATAATCTCGAAGCAGTGGCCGATGGCCATACAGGCTGTGAGAGGGAAGAGCATGCTGTCCCAAGAGCACTGCATACTGCAGCATGTACGGGGGATCTCTGTGAACCTTCTCAATGACTCAGGAGGGACTCCAGAGTGGGGAGATTTCCATGGCCCCATTTTCAACAATGGTCCTCGATTTACATGGCTAGGAAAACATATGTTATAAGATAGGAAAGAAATCTCCCCCCAAGGTAAATACCCATTTGGTGAAAGCCCACACAGGGACACTTACAGGGAGAATCTTCTCAGAAAGCACAGCAGAGCCTCAGGGCCACCCTTTGCTCCTGGTCTGCTCAGGAACTAAACAGAATACAAGGTGGAGTGACTCCCAGCTGGCTGAGTGCTCTTTTTAGAAAGCCAAGCCAGTTTTCTCTTGACCCAGCCCAAGGTTAGCCTTGAGAATTTCATAAAGGCTTAAATAGCCTCAGGAATTCAGTCACAATGCATGACTAATTGGTAACTTGACCTGGAGATAATTTGTAGGTTTGAATCCTCCCTGGATGGACCCTGGAATCCAGTTTGGTGTGGATGCCAAGAGTTATACATGGGAAAATCCAAAACTTTGTGTCTGCCTACACCTCAGCCTCGCACAGCAGTGAGGAAGGTACACAGGTGACCAGGCACAGTGAACGGCTCAAGGGAGCAGGAGTCTAGCTGTACCTAGGCCTGTATGAGGGCAGGACTGGCCTTGGGGGCACAGGATACCATGCTAGCCAAAGCCTCAGTCTTTGACCTGTGCCCCAAGTCTGACTGCATCATTAGAGGCCACACAGTTCTCAAACAAAGTCAATATCAAAAGTGATTCTTTTGGGGCAGTGGCATATAGCAGGTTAAAGGTACAAGTTGAGGAGTCAGACAGATCTGAGTTCTAATCCAGACTTCTCTGAGATGCCATTTTGAGCAAATTAGTCACTGTGTCTGTGTCTTAGTTTCCTTCACTGTGAAATAGTATGAAATGTTATATTGATCCCTGACCCTGGTCTCTGTTACAGAGCTCCTAAAACCCTTGTAATTTCCTGAGCAACAAGCATGCCAGGAGAACCTTTTGTTCTGATGTTTGGTCTCCGCTCAGGTTCTGAGAAAGAGCTCCTAATGATCCCGCAGGTATGGGTAACAGGGGGATCCTTTGTTCTAGTATTTGGCTTTTGACCTCAATTCCTAACAAAGAGCTCCTAAATTCCTAGAAACTTCCTGGTGATAGGAACATCTCTTATTGTAATGAGGCAATTCTTAGTGGGCTCCTGGATAGGAACTGGCCACTAGAAAGACCAAGCCATAGTTAGAAGCTTGGAGCTTTCAGCCCTACTCACCACGCACCAGAAAGAGAGCAGCTAGAAGTGGACTTAATAATTCATTATGCTTACATGATAAATCCTTCATAAAAATGCCTGAACTATGGGGCTCAGAGAACTTCCAGATTGGCAAGCAAATCCCCATGCAGGGAGGGTGGTGTACCCCAACTCCACAGGGACAAACCTCCTGGGCTTGGGACTCTGCCAGACCTTGCCTGTGTATGTCTTCATCTAGCGGTTTTTCTGTATCTTTTATTGTATTTCTTAATAAACTGGTAAACATAAGTAAAGCATTTCTCTGAGTTCTGTGAGCCATCCTAGGAAATCTCCAATTGGCTGTTGGTATATTTATGATATCATTCATAATAGCAAAAATCAAAGGAGATTAAATGTGATTCCTTATTTCTTTTTCTTCATCTCTCAAACTTTAAGGAAGCTTCTTAAGTCTTAGCTTAACCCATGGTATAACTATTTATTGTATTGTGGGAGTCAGTAAAAGAACAAATTGAAGAATGCATGATTGAAGAATGAGTGAAATCATTAACACACTATGGACTTCCAGGAACTGAATGCATTTAACTTTATTTTAGTGCAAATGTAATTAACTATGTTTTACTATTTGTTTAAATTATGTTTTACTTATTCTATTTATTCTTATTTTTAAAATAACATACAAAGTAACCTACCTCTAGCCTTTGCTTACAAATTTAACTACTTATGCTTTGAAAGAGCGAACTTTCTTTCTGGACTTGACTTTGCAGCCCTTCTCATCCCATCATCTGACTATCCTGAAGAATGGTTTTTTAAATCGGCAGTTTCTGGATAGTTTCTGTCTGTGAGATCTCCCATGAGATGCAAAGACCTGTGCAAAACAGTCCAGATTTGGACACATTTTTTGGTAATGTTAGTTAGTTTTTTTTTTTTCTTTGCTATCTTTGCTTTGCTTAACTTACTTTCTCCATAGAATAGTCCACAACAGAAATTCATAGGCTTCTTTTTGGAACATGACTCTCCAACTTGAACTATCATGAAAATCCTCAGGGAGCTTATTAGAAATACATTCCTCAGCCAGATGAGACATACATTCAATCATAATCTCTAGGATGGGTCTTGGGGAGCTATATCTTTATCAAACTCTCCAGACGATTCTAACGATGAGTCAGGTTTAGAAACCATAGTCCTAAAAGAACAACTTAGATTATTTTCTTTCAGATGTGCTGTCTTGTACTTGTCCCTTTGGAGACTCATCTACAATTTTTTCTGCCACTCACCCTGCATTGAGAGAACTTTTTGTGGTACATTTCCTTTGTAAATTTGTCACTGTGCATTCTCTACCTTTTTTACAAAAGCAGTGCCTGGTGAAAGGAAATCCTGCTGACAGACTTCTCTCCCTTGAGGTAAGCCCATTTATCCCTGCTCTTTGTTAGAGCTCCAAGTACTGAATTCTTGACAAAACAATCACCCAGTGGCCAAGTTCAATGGGGAAAAGCATTGCCATGATCCATGGGCAAAAACACAGAATGGGGTTCAGTTACTTATATTCTTCAAATTAGTTGAAAATTTATGCAAAACTCCATTTTTTGAGATATACAAACGAATCCACCCTCCAGATAAGGGAGAAAAAGAATAACTGATTCTGGACCATTCTCCGGTTTGAATATTTTAAGGAAATCCTCATCTCACCAACTAGGTTAGATCATCTGCAATTGATTAGTAAGAAATCAATTTGCGGGCCGGGCGCGGTGGCTCACGCCTGTAATCCCAGCACTTTGGGAGGCCAAGGCGGGTGGATCACGAGGTCAAGAGATCGAGACCATCCTGGTCAACATGGTGAAACCCTGTCTCTACTAAAAATGCAAAAAAATTAGCTGGGCATGGTGGCGCCTGCCTGTAATCCCAGCTACTCAGGAGGCTGAGGCAGGAGAATTGCCTGAACCCAGGAGGCGGAGGTTGCGGTGAGCCGAGATCGCGCCATTGCACTCCAGCCTGGGTAACGAGCGAAACTCTGACTCAAAAAAAAAAAAAATTTGCCTTGGGACATTGGTTTAGAGGTTATTCTCCTTAAAACCAATCTTGTGATCTGACTCATTCTGGAATGCCTCTATCCATTCTCCATCTTTGTAACCACCGCACCTCATCACAGCTGTTTCCTTCCTTCTTTTGAATCCACAAATGCAATTGAACCTCTGTTCTATCAGTAGCCACAACACCAGTTTCAGCAGTGCCATTGTCCTCTGGTCAGCACCATTTACTGGTCTCAATTGTTGTGACCATTTTTAGTAGTAGTGAGGGGAGAAGAGGTAGGAGTTTAATGTTCACCAAGGCATTGACCTGGCTGCACCGGGACACCTTTTTGGCCACTGGTCTAACTCAGGTGGGCGACTTACCTGACAAACACAGTTAACACTTGACAATCATTCTCGCTGGCACTTGGTATTCTCATCAGACAAGTCATACAACTGAAAGTTTGTGTGGATTTGTCCTTGTGGCCAGTCATGTGGAAGGCTTTCCAGAATATTGACTTAAGTAGACATTCTGTTTCTCTACAGCTAATACACAGAGCACGGGGGCAACATGGCATATGCTTTGACAAGCTTAAAGTGCTTGATAATAGTCAATAGATTTCCAGGAACATAAAGTGAGCTATTGAATTTTCCTGGAACAATTCTAGTACTTTATGGTGAAAGAATGCTCAGACCAAACTCAACATGGTTACATGGACAATTTTAAATTGAGGGGAGAAGAAACTGGAGATTCTGAAGTGAGAGAATTGAGGAAGAGGTGAGAGAATGGGAAGATACAGGTGGTTTTCCTTCCCAAAGAAAGAATGGGTTGATGGTACCTACAGGTGCAGTGAGTACAAACATTAGAGAACACTTCGTTCTTTTCTGAGGTTGAGCCCCCCAGAAGCAGACATTGAGGCCCAGCTAAATATTTCTATATAAATCTTTTGTGAAGGAAGTGTTTCTAGGAGAAACTGGTAAGAGCGTGAAAGACAATCAAAGTAAGAATGTGATTTTGGGCAGGGTCTTCATTTTAACCTGATACTGCCAGGGAGCTTTGGAATGTAAACATTACTTCACTCTGTCCCAACTCTTGACAAGGAAAAAGAGCTTCAGACTTCTTCCTTGTCAGTCACCGGCTCAGGGTTGCCTGGGCAGGGTGGGGGTGGGGAGCAAACTGCAGGCACCTTTGGGTCTCTGGTAGAACAGGCAAAGGGGCTCAAGGGCAACCCTCTGAAGAGAGTCAGAAGAAAAGCAAACAAATGCCTGTGAAGGCATCAAAGACATCCAAGAAGATCTGAACAGACCGCTGACAATGTCTGTCATTGAGCAACACAGGAAAAGTATATTCCCTAGGCAGGAAACGAGTCATTTATTCATCACACAATATTTTTTGAACACCTAGTCATGTATGCCTCTCCTGGTGCTAAGGGCTTGGATTTGAAGATGAATGGTTCTTTCCCTAGAATGTTAAGAACTACTCTTGATGCATGTATCGAATGTTATGGGAATAGTCCCCAAAGCAAAGTCGTTGGACTCAGGACAGTGAGGGCCACCCAGCCTGGGACACACGAAGCATTTGGAAAATAGAACTGACTCCATGAGAAAGTAAATCAATTAATATTTATTTGATGACTGAAGAGGCAGTTTTTAAAAAAAATCCAAAACACAGGAATTAAATTCTAAAAATTGCTTCAATGATCCACAGTATAGTAACAGTATTTGCAATACGTCAAGCCTCATTTTACAATAAACACCAAGTACAGCATAGAATTTAGTTCAAGTTCTGGTTCTTGACTCCCATGAGGGGCACAGAAGAGCTAGCTGGGCTGCCTAAGCTTGTGTCTCTGCCCCTGTGGAGGATGGCTGTGGCCGTTCCTAGAATAAGAGTAGAAATGAAGCCAGGTGCGGTGGCTCATGCCTAGAATCTCAGCACTTGGGGAGGCTAAGGTAGATTGATCACCTGAGGCTGGGAGTTCGAGACTAGCCTGGAAAACATGGTGAAACCCTGTCTCTACCAAAAATACACAAATTATCTCAGCCTGGTGGTGGACCACTGTATTTCCAGCTACTTGGGAGACTGAGGCAGGAAAATTGCTTGAACCTGAGGTAGAGTTACAGTGAGTTTGAGATTGCCCCTCTGCACTCCAGCCTGAGATTCCATCTCAAAAAAAAAAGAGTAGAAATGAGATATCCAGAGAAAACTTGCTAGCAGAGGTGAGGAAATCTTTTCTTCATAGATCAGGAGTCAGCTCTGAGTGGGTAAAAGGGATTTTTTTTCCCTTTAGCTTCACCTGCTATAACCACAAGTCCCCATGCTGCCTTGCTTTGTACTGGAAGCTGCAATATATTCCAAGAATCAATCTCTTTCAAACATTGTAGCTTCTGCCAACAGATTCTGAATCATCCAGTTTCTACAGGAGGAATTCACCTCAAAGGATCCTGCTAAGCAATGAATGACCATACCTATATTTGTGGTACCTACATATATCAGTGACAAGTCACACCTGAATCTGGTAAGGAGGGATGAGCTTGCCAAAGCTTCGTTTGTAAAATTATACACAAGAGCAGCTAGAGAAAAAGTAGAGAATACATAAGACTTGGACTTGTGAGCGTGGCTCCTGTAGATTGAGCTCAAGGGCAAAGTTTGGACCTCATCTCTCTACAGATCCTCATTTTAGGACCTAAAATAATGTTTTGCATATGGCAGCTTTCCACTGTTATGGGTGAGGAGAGTTGAAGAAATTGGAGAACTACTATTGAACCTCCAGTGGTTGTTTTTGTCGATAAGATAAAATCGAATTCCCTCTCCACACTGTTCAGACCTCCGTTTCCTGGCTCCAATTCAGTCCAGTTGTCTTAGAAGTTTTTTTTCCAAGGCTCTTCTTCGCAGAGTCATAGAGAGTGCACATTATAAGTTGTAATTTTTTTATGGTAAGTGAGCATTTTAGTTCATACTTGAAATATATTTCTGAATTGAATAGTATCTTTAAAATGGAGATTGAGTTTGCTTTTCAAATTTTTGTCCATTTTAAAAAAATGGGTCAAGAAAGCAAAATATTCCATGAGTGAAATGATTTAATAATTGCCCAAATTTTACTTTTTGCCAGTTTTTTCATTTCATTAAAATTCGTTTATTAGTTTCTATAAAGTTATTATTAATTAAAATGTGTACATTTTGCTCTTTTAGTGAAAAATATCTTAGTATAGTTGAAAAGTCTTCATTACTTCTTTATGTACAGTAATCTTTATTTCATTTTTAAAAATCATTTTTACTGGCCTAATTACATATACAACATTCAATAAAAGACGATTTTACTGTCTATGTATATTTTCTAGCTAGTGCTATTAATTCTACCTCACACGTGAAAAATTTGTCACATAGACGAGGGGGACGTAAAGAACGATCTTTTCTAGGTGTCAAATAGGTCCACAATGTCGCTTTGCTTCCTGGAATCCTAAGACTCTGTTCACTGTGCACACTGCCCCAGGCACTCCGGCTTCCTTCCTGGCCCCCAGCTTCAGGATTTTGACACCTAATAGTCCTTTTACTCAGAACCCTCTTTGCCCAGGTATCCACAGGCCCTTAGCTCCTCACATCTTTGCAGTGTCTTCCCTGACCACTTTATTATTATTATGATTATTATTGCAAAGTATTTGTATCTTTATTCAATTAAATTAAAACAGACGTGCCAGGTATATTATATAACATTCACTATATACATATGACTTAGGAAACGCAAGAAAATTCTATGTATGCTGATTACTCAACTATGAGTAAAACATGAACGGTGTCAGTGATGCCCAGCAAGTGCTCCTTTTCACATTGGGTGCCTGCATTTTTATGGCATGGTTAGAGGAATAGCTATGAGTCATGATATGGATTACCAGCAAAATTTTGTGGGATAAGGAGGGAAAATGACAGTCTAGTACAGATGAACAGTATCCTAAATGCAAACAGAACACTTGACAGTTACATTTTTTAAGAAGTTCTTCCATCGTGTTAATGACACAAAACTTCTCTTTTTTGAAGTGGTATGTGGAGACAGCTTGGGGCATGTGGGGACAGGTGGGGGAATGCTCTTAAAATTGGTATAATTATTCCTTAAACAACAACAACGGACCAGGCGCGGTGGCTCATGCCTGTAATCCCAGCACTTTCGGAGGCCAAGACAGGCAGATCATTTGAGGTCAGGAGTTTGAAACCAGCCTAGCCAACATAGTGAAATCCTGTCTCTACTAAAAATACCAAAATTAGCTGGGTGTGCTAGTGGGCACCTATAATCCCAGCTACTTACTTGGGAGGCTAAACTTTTTCCCATCTCTGTTTTTTTTTTTTGTTTGTTTTCTGGAAATTGTGTTCCAGGTCAGGGATCGTGGAAGAAGATGAAATACTCTCTCAGCCATTTACTTCCTCTGGCTTCATTCTGATAGGAAAGGCCTTCAGAGCTCTATAACTTGACTTCTTGAGGGATGACCAGTTCTTCAGGCCCTGGTGCGAGGAGGGCATTTCACTCTTTGTTGCATTTTGAGTACAGGTATCGATCGACTTACGACCTATGCAACTTACGACCAATTGACTTTACGACCACAATCGCTAGCCACGACGGCTCCGCGTCTGGCAGCGCAAACATTGCCCAGCTGGGCGTACGACAGTGTGGACCAGCTTCCAGCAGCACTACCATCTCTGCGTGCATGTAGCCTACTCAACTTACAACCAAATCGTGTTACGACCGGTCTGTTGGAACCAATTGTGGTCGTAAGTCGAGCACTGGCTGTATCCTCACTGGGCTCTTTCCTCCCCTCTTGTCTCTGAAGGCCCCTGTCTTATGCTTTGTGGTGCTGACAACTTCCTTCTCAATAGGAAAGAATTTGCCTTTGCAGTTCATCGGGATGCATTGTTCTGCTTCCAGTCATAGGAAACCAGGAGTCTGGTCTCTTCAGATGGAAAAGATCAAAAGAATCCCAGCTTGAGTTACAACCTGCTGAACTCTGTGGCTAGAGACACTAGTGTGACCTGGAAGAGGCCATTGCCGCCGATCCTGAGGCTGCTTCTCCCAGAAGAGATGCCCTCAGCCCCGCAGCACATGTATAAACACAATAGGTGACTCTTCCACCTGCGCGTCTACAAGGGGCTGGCTGAGCCATTGAGGCATGGCTGGATCTTCACATTGCCTATGGGGGTCTGGCATTAGGTCCTGTAATCTATAATGTCTGCTGCAGACTTTCCAGGAGGCAGGGTTTAATGCTGTATGATTATTTTCTTCACAGAGCTTGTCCTCTGGTGGCTAAAGTGAGTGCTCAGTATTTAGAGACCCTGGAGATTATCTAATACAAACTTCGACCTGATGAATCAACCGGACAGTGAGTGGGCCCAGTGTCAGCATTCACACCTCCGAGACTTGGAAGCTAGTGCCTCCAAGGCACTTATGAGCCCTGGGGTTATTCAAAGACTTAATTTTGAAGTGAGTATTTTGTACTTGTACAGGGCAAAGAGTGCTTGTTCCTCAGTGGGAAGGAGCTGAGGCCTTGGGTCTTGGCTGGTGGAGAGACAAGAGTCCAGCCTGCCACGGTTGACAAGCTGTTCTCGACTGGGCACATCTTAGTTTGCATCTCCTTCATTATTACTCCTCAATTCCCATCTTTCTAGTCTCAAGTCTTACTTTCATTCCCCTTAATATCCCGAGTAGGCTATCCTTTCCTACCTCTCTTGACTCTTTTCACACATTTTGCTCCCTGGCCCAGACTGGGCTCACCAGATGCCACTATACCCCCTTCTTTCTATCTGTCAACTTCTGCTTGTCTTTGAGATGTCAGAATACATGACACTTCCTTTGGGAACCTGTTTGCATTCCGTTAAATCTGACTTTAGTGTGTTTCCCACTTAAGAGGCTGCTTGTCTGTCATTCCCAAGTAACTGTGAACTCCCTCAGAATAGGGACTTTTTCCTTTTATGCCATTATATCCGAGGGCCTAGCACAACGTCTGGAACATCTGTTGTTCCATACATAATTGCTGAGTAAAAATGGAATGGAGTCACAGCAAGTGCTATGTGTATCTTTAGGCTACGCGTAACAGCAAACTGAAGCAAGAGTGGCTTTATGAGAACACTGACTTGTGTATTTAACATGGTGTCTAGCGGTAGGTAAGTTCTGTGACTCAGTGGCATTATAAGCATCTAAGCTCTTCTGTCCTTTTCTCATCATAAGTTCCATAGTGATTTTCATCCTCCTCACCATCTAAAGATGGCTACCATGCTCCAAGCATTGCATTCTCATGCATCACTTTCAAAGGAAGGCAGAAAGGAGAAGACAGAAAAAAAATGATCTTCTCTCTCTTTCGCCAATAAGATAGCCTTTCCACAAGACTAGAACCCCAGCTGTCTTTCTCTTACATTTAATTGTTTAGAACTGGGCCACATGCCCACCTGTAGACAAATCATTGACTCATCCTTGGTGCTTTTAGCTAAAGTCGTGCTGCACAAATTTGGTTTTTTTCAGCAGGAAATACAAGTAAATAGCTGATGGGTAAGAAGTGAATGACAGCTGCCACTCATATCTTTAATGAAGTTTTACTAAAATCCAGAAGATCTTTATTCAAATCTGCATTTTACCTTAGATTGTTGGTACTTACAAGGCAACACTTACACTGGCATACTATGCTTTAGTATGGCTACCTCAGGAGGCTCTGGCATGAAGAGCTGTAGTTTTCTGTCTGTTTATTCTCAACAGCCACTTTCACCTGGTCAGAGAGCACTTCGACCTCTCCCGAACATCAAGTTGGACACTTGTGCTGGCTCAAGGCAATCAGTGACAGTTTCCGTCAGTGCAAACAGCCAAGTATCATCCTCTAGTAATTTTCATTCACGGCAAATTTTCTTCCATAGTCGAAGTGCAAGGACGAAATAACGGCCAATAAAATGACAAAAGTTTTCATCATGAACAAATTAACTAACTCTGGAATGAATCATAGCATACTTATTTTTTAATTAAAATATCAAATTCAGCGGTGTGGAAATTTGGGCTATAACCTTAATCCTCGGTCTTTCTAGCGTCTCCTCCCTCCACCCACTTTGCTCATTTGAAAACTTTTGTAAACTGTAAAGAGTAAATGAAAAGAATCGAGTTATTAACATAGTTTACTTTTTAAAGCCTCTTCTTGATTGATGTAATGATTGTGATGATGATTACTTCTCTCTTACTGAGTGTGGAGGGTGCAATTGTTATCACCTTAAATCTTTATATCACCCAATTATTATTGGCATTTTATGTAATAGAAACCTAAAATTCAGATTTTAAGTGATTTTTCCAGGGTCATCGGTAAAGCAGAGATTAGAACTCAGATTTTTCTAATTCCAAAATGATTCTTACATTCTCTGTCATGAGCCAACCTCCCTTCCTTCAATTCTCATTATCACCCTTAATATGTTCATTACTTTTTCAAAGTCTGCAGGGTTTTTATACACCTCTTACTGGTTAATCCTTTTGTCTTAGGCTTTAGCAAAGGGACTATACTCATTCCTTGGCTGAGATGTTTATGAACAGCATACAGAATTATTTATCGTTATCTTTCTAGTTTGATGGCTTTCCTCTCCTTCATTCCTCAAGTCTAGAGGCACTCATATCTAGCTCAGTAAACAAACACTAGGAAAAAAAAAAAAAACACACACACACACACAGCAAGCAGATTAACAGACCACTCCTGCTCCTGAGAAGATTTTCTCTTTTTCCTTTGTTAGTCTAATAGGCAAGGTGTGCACTAAGAGATTTTAAAAGTACAAGAGAAGAGCAATCACAAGCCGTGATGATTCTGAGTTCACAGAAGCCCAAGGGATTCTGACATTTCTCCAAGGAGTTAGCCAGGAGAAACCCTAACCGGTTGAGCTGAGATGGAGGAGAACAGTAAGAAGGCCCAGCGGGCTTTGCTCAACCAGGGAGAGGAGGATGAACTGGTGAGTCTTCCCTTTATTTTATTAGTCTTCTCAAAGTGCCCAAGGATGTGAGCAGGGGCTACAGCTTAAGTAGAAGAGAGTGTGGCACGGATGCTTCAGGCTTTAGGACCTTGAAAGGTTTCAGTCTGGTAAGGCTCCTTAAGGGTTGCAACGCACCGTTTTACAGGTTTTACAGTCGAGGAACCTGCAGGGTCTGAGAAACTTGTGTCCTCTGCATGATAGAATTCTTGTCACCTTCATATGCAATGACCCTGTGAAGCTTCCTCAGACATTGAGTATTTGCCGAGTCCCCATGGTGCTCACTGAGGTTTTCTGGGTTGCCCTGTGATTGGACAGACTCTAGTGAAAACAGGAACCCCTTTTTCATTCTCATGCTTTGGGTATGTATGCATGACCTAGGCTTAGGGTGCTTTGGGCCAAAGTCACGCTTTTTATAAGCGCAGAGAGAATTTTTAAGCATCAACTACTAAAGAAGGAATAGAATGTGGCTTGGGATTTTAACACATCTTTTAAAAAATTCTCACGTCTTCAATTTTTACCCCCACTGCTCTTTTCATCAAACGCACACACACACACACACACACACACTTAAAAATAATAATGAAAAAGTTGAAAACTATAGTGTTTATTTGATGTGGAGGAGTTTACATTTATGATTTTATATAATCCTCAGAACTCAGTGATGAAAGAACTAATCCTATTTTATTGAAAAGAAATCTGAGAGCAGGGAGGTTAAGTAACTTGCCCAAGGTCATTAGCCTGCAAGAGACAGGCTGGGAATCCAGCCCACTCCTTCCTTCTCAACATCCTGTGCTGTTCACGGTCCTACAGTGACTCCAGTTAGACAACGAAGAAAGGAGACAGAGATAGACGGGGAAGGATCAGAGTGAGGGCACATTTGGGGGCCCAAAAGAACCTGGAGAACATAGTTCGTAGATTACAATGATGTCAGTTTCCTGGCTGGCCTCATGGTTCCCTGTGAGATCTGTGGCAAATCCATACCAGCTCTCCCTCCATATATCTTTGTTTGCTAATCTAAGGCAAATGTATGATTTCATGTGCATTTGTGTTGTTCAATAAGGCAGCCATGGGCCACGTGTAGTTTCTGAGCACCGGAAAAGTAGCTAGTACACACTAAAATATGCTTTATGTGTAAAATACTTACCAGGTTTTGAAGAATTCAGTAAAAAAAAGTAGTAAAATTTCTTATTAATAATTTTTATATTGTTTACACATTGAAATGGCACTGTTTTACATAGGTTAAGTAAAAATTTCACCCGCTTCTCTTTACATCTTTAATGTGGCTGCTAGGAAATTTAAAATTACGAAGACGGCTCATATTTGTGACTTGCATTATTGTACCATATTGAGCTTGACAACAGCAAGCACTTTAACATCTTCAGAATGAAGGCTTTTAAAGAACTAAAATCTATTTGCCTGTGTTCACTGCTGAACAGTTCCATCAGCGCTGATGTTTCCAATATGTAGATGAGAGTGCATGGAAAACTTAAGCTGCTCTTTATTCTTCTCTGACTAGTTGCTGTATTTATGAAGCTGATAGCCTGATATTTTAATTCTCTCACTCACAGAAGGGACATTGGTATGACAGGATTAAATAATGAACCAGGTGCCACAGTTTTCTTCCTTTTTGCAGGTGACCAAATACTTTTATAGACACTCACCAGAAACCTTTATTAGGAATCCCAGTAAGCTCATTCTGAGGAAGGGGAGATGGCTGTAGATTTCTTTTTCACAAATCTTATTCTTGGGCATACAGCACAGATGCAAATCCTGCTCTTACTCTTGGACCTTGAGCACAGATGCAAATCTTACTCTTGGGCATACAGCACAGTTGCAAATCCTGCTCTGGTGGATCAGGTAATCCAGTGAGTCAGGTAGACCTGAGGCAGCTGGGGTGACCAAACTGGAAGCTGTGACTTAGCCCCAGGCAACTGCTGGCCTTTTAGAAGGAAGTCAGATGAGGAACAACACACACTGGGGCCTGTCGGAGTGTGGGAGGTGGGAGGAGGGAGAGCATCAGGAAGAATAGCTAATGGGTGCTGGGCTTAACACCTAGGTGATGGTTCGATCTGTGCAGCAAACCACCATGGCACACTTTTACCTATGTAACAAACCTGCACGTCCTGCACACGTACCCCTGAACTTAATATAAAAGTTGGAAATTAAAAAAAGGAAAGAGACCCCTGGCCAGGCACGGTGGCTCTTGCCTGTAATCCCAGAACTTTGGGAGGCAAAGGTGGGAAGATAGCTTGAGGCCAGAAGTTCAAGACCAGCCTGGTTAACATAGCAAGAGCGTTTCTATTATAAATAAAAGAGACCCTAGAGAACCCCCTTGTTCCTTCTACTGTGAGGGCATAGGAACAAGATGGCCGCCTATGCACAGAAAGAGGGCTCTCATCGGCCACTGGATCTGCTAGCATCTTAATCTTGGACTTCCCAGACTCTAGAAATAGATGTTTGTTTTTAAAACTAAAATGTAAAAAATAAAAGGGAAGCCAGAATCTGACTTTTTATGTGATATAGCCTGATTATAAATTTTGAAAACAAATTCATCTTTTTAAAACGTTCAGTAGGTCAAACTCAACCTGGGCACAGTTTATTCCCAGCCTTGGGGGCTGTCAGTCTGTGACGCTGACAACCTCACCCACTTGCTCTTCCTTCCCTGAAGATTCCCGATGGCCCAGTCTTCTATTTGCATTCATTATTTCAAGTGAACAATCAGTTGTGATCGTGAGAGGCACTGTGGTAAAAATTAGAGACAGTTGAGGCAAATAATGAACTCCTTCAATCAAACACCCCTGAAGAGCCTAAGTGGATGGAGGGGGATGCTGTGAGATTATGCAAGTTCAGTCTTGGGTGATTCTGCTGAGCTCAGCATGGAGATAAAGCTTTGCACTGGCCTGTAGAATTGAAGCCTGTTATCCTTCCCATCTGCTGTTCTCATCCTGCTCACACTTACTGTCCTGGGAAGGGCGCAGTGCTAGGTGCCTGACAAACGGGTTTCATTTTGCCCTCACAACAGCCCTGAAATCGATATTCTCACTGTACAGGTCTTTACTGTCTTTTCCAACCCACTCCCACCCACTCCCCGCCCTCTTCACTACCATCCAGCTCTCATAGGCTCCTCTTCTTCACCTGCCTCTTTCCTAAAAACCTGCCCTGCCCAGGCGTTCCTCAGCTTCTCCATTTGCAGTCAGCTTTTCTTATCTTGTCGTAGGGCCTCAGGACTCACAGCTTCACTGAGAGCCCACAGGAGCCTTCACAACACAGGACCCTAAGTCAACCCGAAACCTTCAGGTTATATAGCTCCATACTTAATGGAATGGGATTTGGCTTCAGACTGACCTAGTGGAATTCTAGTTCTGTTAGGCAAGTTATTTGACCTCTCTAATACCTACCATTTAGCATTGTTGTAAGGATTAAATGAGGTAATACAGCTTTTCTAAACATATCTTCTGCGATAGGTATTATATAAAAAGCTTCCCTGTTCTCCTTCCCCATTAGGTTTGAGAAATACTAGGTGAAGCGGGTTTGCAGGTGGCAGCAGGGCTTCTCAAATCTCGCACGTGTTTGTCTTGGTCTACTTTGTGTTGCTAAAACAGAAGTCCACAGACTGGGTGATTTATAAAGAAAAGAAATTTATTTCTTATGGCTCTGGAGGTTGAGAAATTCAAGGTCAAGGGATCACACTTGGTGAGGGTCTTCTTGCTACGCCATCCCATGGTGGAAGATAAAAGGGCAAGAGAGCATGAGAGAGCAGGAGAGTAAGAGGGGGCCCCACTGGCTTGTATAATGAGCCCACTGTTGCAATAACTAGCCTACTAGGGTGATGGTAACATTCACAAGGCAGAGCCTTGTGACCTAATCACCTCTTATTCACCCCACCTCCCAACACAAGAACCTGGAACACACATTCAAACCATATCAATATTATAGTTTTTTTGTGGTCTCTTAAGGGGGCATTACACTGTGCTATACATAAATGTATATATTATATATAATATGTATATGGTACACACACACACACACACACACACACACACACACACATATTTTGAGACAGGGTCTTGGTCTTCCACACAGGCAGAAGTACAGTAGTGTGATTATAGCTTACTGCAGCCTCAGTCTCCCAGACACAAGCAATCCTCCTGCCTCTCCTGCCTCAGCCTCCCATATAGCTGGGACCACAGGCATGTGCTACCACAGCCGGCCAATTTTTTAAAAATCTCAGTAGAGAAGAGGTCTCCCTATGGTTTCCAGGCTGGTCTCAAACTCCTGGGCTCAAGTGATCTTCCTGCCTCTACCTCCTAAAGTGCTAGGATTATAGGCATGAGCCACCTCACCCAGCCACAGTGCACCATATTTCCCACACTTATGCGTCCATGGAATTTTTTCTGTGTGTGTGTGTGTGTGCAAATACATGCACAGATTATCTCCTGACCACTGCCTCATGGAACCTGCATAGGAAGGCTGGACTGTTCTCAATGACTGATAGGTATTATTTTGTCATTATGCCCTGCTGGGAGGAAAAATAATCATGATGGCTCTCGGCCTGGTTTGTCTGGAGACACACTGTGTGAATGTCAGCCTCTGTTTCAGCAGCTCCTCTGACCACAGGCTGCATTTGCTTTCTGAAGACGACCTTGATTCTGTCTCCACTGGAGCCACAAGTGCCGCTTGATTCATACCAGTTGCAAAGCCCGGCAACTCCATCTGTGTTCCCCTTCTGTACAGACATCCACCAACAAAATATCAAAACTACAAATCAAAGCAGCCCCAGAAGGCAAAATGGCTGCTTGGTGTGGACAAAACAGAATCAACAGAGGAGGCTTTCACTTCATGGTAATTTTCTTCTACCGAATAGTGGAGGAGCCTGGACTCTGAGATAGCAAACCTGGGCTTTGGTCAAGGCTCTGCTGCCAACCATGTGGTTGTGAACACCTCTTTGGCCTTGGCCATTTACCTTAGAACAATAGCAC